ACGCTAAACATGCATCAAAAAAGTGCACGCAAAAACGCATCTGGAACACATCTAGACTGTTTCTATAGTGTGAACTGGCCCTTAGGACTTGTTCACACTATTTGTGGTGCAGAAAGGCATGCAAGAGCACGCATTGTCCAGCACAGCAAAGAAATACAATGCCCTCTGCAGATGTGCGCAGGTACCATGATGAAAACTTAATTGCACCTCCACATGTCTAGTAAACACAGATGCATTCACAGCCACCAAAACACATGGCCCCACGTTACTACTGTGCGGTTAGGTGCAACACACTTTTACAATAACATGCCTGCAGTATTTTTGCATGTTCCCACATATTAGGCAGCCCATTGAAATTAATGAGCTGAGGAAAAAAAAAAAGTAAAAAATGCCCATTCACACAGGTCCTCTGGCCTGTACAGCATGAATGAGGGGTTGTTCATGTGACTGGAGCCACCTGTTACAGTATGGGGACACAGCAGCTGTATGAACACAGGTTGTCATCTGAGAGGTGTGAAGGCGTGGGGAAGTGGCCCTGAATGCTCACTGTCTGTGTTCAGGGCTGTACACCTGCACCCATATGCTTGTCAAATTATAACCTGCAGCATTTCCATTGTGTAACATAGGTTGCCTGAAAACGGCGATAGCCACAAAAACAAACCACTGATTCCCACTCTACAGGCCACAGTACCCATGTGAATGAGCCCCCCAAGACCTCAATTACACACACAGCTTTATTTATGAACTCAGTTCAGTTTTATCATTTAGATTTCACAGGAATATGGTTGGGATTATGTCAATTAATAATGTCTTTAGTGTATTTTTACCATAAATATAATTTGGATATTTTCTCTGGCGGTGGAGGGCTGTCAGGTATGCTGTACAGGGCCCCGTGATATCTAACAGTGGCCCTGGGTGTATGCTTGTGTCTGTGCCACCTGTATAGTTAGGAAGAACCTTGAACCTCTGCTATGTACCTCAATGGTGTGCAAATGTCCTTCTGCCAACGTCATGACGTATTTCCGGTATGACAGCTGCTCTAGCGCCTCCTCCAACAGCAGTCTTGGCATTTATTTGTGCACCATAACAATTTTACATGCGGCTCCATTGTGTATATAACATTCACAAATATATGTTTGTAGTTCTATCGTGGATTTGGCATTGGTGAATGTATGCTTGCAGCTCTACTGTGTATATGACATTGGCAAATATATATTTGCTGGTAAAGGCCAAAAGTCAACATAAATTGGGGGCCCTGTTAAGAGGATTGTAGAAAAAGAATAGCTAGCTGCACATTGAACATGACCTATTCATTGGTACATAACATGGTCTTGTCGTGCAATAGGGGGCCTTTTGGTTTGTTATTTTGGACATACTTGAATATGTGCACTCTAACAAGGAAGATTTGTTCATATTATATAGCTAGCAAAAATAAGTGTTAGGGGTGCTAGTACATTTATTTCAGATACTTATATAGCGCTGTCAATCTACACAGCGCTTTACATATATATGTGGTAAATTCACATCAGTCCCTAACCCTCAAGGGGCATCCTATCTAAGGGCCCTAACTTACATTCATACATATACTAGGGCCAATTTTGACAGGATCTAATTAACCTACCAGCATGTCTTTAGTGTGTGGGAGGAAACTGGAGTACCTGGAGGAAACACAGGCACAGGAAGAACATGCAAACTCCAGGCAGGAGGTCCCATGGTTGGGATTTGAACCAACGACCCTAGTGCTGCCAGGTGGAAGTGCTAACCATTTAGCCACTGTGCTACATTCAACTAGAACATGAAATAATCCCCCAAAAATAGTCCAAATATTTGTTGATCAAATACACATTCCACATTTATTTGGACAGCAACAAGTAGGTACATTCAATATCTGTCAAGGTCCTACCTTTTCCCAGAGGTTATGTTACTCCATGTGCTAGCATCCATCTTGGATTTCTGCTGAGCATGATGGGAATCTTTTATGCCTTCAGGTCTCTGAGGTCCATCCCCCAGAGGGGTGTAGCTGAGTACATATAAGCCTGGGATCTGCACATGCTCTTTGCACTTGTGGCTTGTGTCTTTGTCTTGCTACAGCTCTGTGTATACGCTCGTGACTCTTCTGGTATTCTGACTCGGCTTGTGACTAAGACCATTCTCTGTGTTTCCCTTTGATCTGACCTTCCGTTGCTGAACCCGGCCCGTGACCTGTGATTCTCTGTCTACTGTTCTGTACTGTTTTGTCCCGTTGTTATTGACCCGGCTTGTCTGACTACGCTATTGTCATTCTCACCAGCTACACGCCATTGGCGGCGGCCATTACCGCAGCTGGGGTGTCTCGGGGGCCGCGACCTGGTCCCTGGTTGCGTCAAGTCCATCCCCACCATCAGGGGCCCTGGTGAAGGGCAGCCTGGGACTTAGACTCCGCGCCCTGAGGGACTTCAGTCTGTTGGTGGTGGTTGTCGTCAGCCAGTGCGTTACCCTGCCACTAGGCCTACCTATCCGTTCCACAGCCCTGCCCTGACAATATCTTGGTGAAAAAAAAACAAAAAAAAAAACAGGATTGATGTTGCTAAAATAGAACGGTCCTGCTCATAAGAGCTTACAATCTAAAAGACTATACTTCTAATGAACTGTGCTTTCACAGGTTACAGCAGGAAACAAACGGTTAATATGAATCACTTAGGTTTATCCACAAAACAAGCTGCAGATCAAAATATCAATATAAAAATGCATACATGCCAAAATAACACCTCCCACCTCCCCAAATCCCCCACACATACATTTCTTATCAGGTTTGTCTGAAAACTGCATTTCATTCTAAATAAAGCAAACTTGGAAGAGCAGAGCAACTGACATGTGTTAGGATTACAATGCAAAGATAATAAACACACAATCATTGTACAATAACACACAAACACATCTTAGAAGGAAGAACATGCAAAATATTTACAGCCCACATCAAAACACAGCTTGAGTGTGGCCTGAGGCAATTCACCACAATATCTCTTCTTCCCCAAACCACCACAGACAAGGACTTGCAGAAATAATGTGGCCTGAACAAGGAAAAAATCAGCCACTACTGTGTCTCTTTATATAAGGTAGGCCACACCCACCACTGTCATTCATTTGGTCAGAGAAAGTGTTTTCACCTGATGAATCCTCTTCCCACCTGCGTTAACCCTTGGTATACAGGCCACACAAATCAGAGTCAGAAAGAAAGCCACAGTGAAGTGTACCTGTGCAGCATACAACAGAGCATTGAACAGGGATGTGAAAGGGAACCCTATTGGCAATATTTCTTGGCCCTATGGGCACAATTCACTCCAGATTATCGCATGAGTTAAGGCAGTCACATGACCACATCTCGTATGCAATACTGAAAATGTCAATTCACTTTTGCGAGTATGCAGCATTTCCCATAAATCGGAAAAACACTCAGGAAATCAAACATAAAAAGGCCTTACACCCTGGTCACATCAAAGCCGATTTGAAAATTGTGCGACGTACAGTGAAGATGCCGATTTCCTTGCGATTTGCAAGACATCTGACACAGATACCTATGCAAATCACCACAAAAGTAGTACATGTGCTACTTTAGAAATCAGTGTCGGAAACGCACCCATGTGACTGCTCTAATAGCAGACAATAGGGTGCGACTTGGCATACGATTTGCAAGTCGCATGTCATGCAAATCGCATGCCAAGTCGCATCCAGGGTGCACGATTTCAGGTGCGATTTGGGAATTGAAATTGTACCTGATATCGGATCTAATGAATGTGGATGTGAGTGTGTCTTAACATAAGCGATTTGCTGCAGCACAATTTTAAACGTCGTTCTTGTCTACCTTTTTCAGCATTTTGTAGCGATTTCATATATAGACTACAATAGAAACCGCAGTGCAAAACACAACTGAAATTCAATAACTCATTGGTAAATCTACAGAAAATATGGTGAAATTGCCAACAAAAAGCAAAATTTTAAATCGCATCTAGTGTGAACCAAGCAGGCAATTCAAACAAAGGAAATAAATCTTTGAAGGCATGCGGTATCTGCATGCTCGGATAAGGGTCTGTTATGGATTTGGGGGGGGGGGGACACTCCATGCCATTATTTTATTAATTTTTTTTAATCCTTTTCTCTCTCTCGCTCACTCTTCTCATGGTTTGACAAACTTTCCCAAAAGGAGGTGGAGTGCAAACCAGCATTATCAAATCAATCTTTATTCTAGGCCCTTATCATATCCCATTGTCTGACATTCACATAAGGTGCTACTTTAAAGGTGTTTGAACAGACAATGCCTTACATTCTAGGGATCATTTAGACAGAAAGCAAAGATGCTGCCACCAGCACATGTATGTTAGGGTAGTCACACAGAGATCATCCAAATTCATTGCCGTGGTTGGGATTCAAACCAACAACCCTAGTGTTGTGAGGCAGCAGTGCTAACCACTAATCCACAGAGCTGTTGCCTGTATTTCTGTGGTGTGAATCAATCCTAGGTCCCTGGGCAAGGTCAGTGTAACTAGCCAGATATCTCCAATGTGACACAAATGTTGTGGTATGTTGGTTCTATGTATCCCAATACAAAGGATTGCAATACTAATACAGGTGTACCTCGGTTTACCAACGCCTCGGTTAATAGAATTTTTGGTTTACGAATGAAATTCCATTGAAAATAATGCCTCGGTTTACACAATTGTTAATAATTTTTTTTCGCAATACAAAGTGTATGTTGGCGCTGATTTTCAAATGCAAATGCCAGCCTTTTTTTTTCTTCACTATAGTTCACAAGCTTAGAAGTCACTTTCCCTGAAGTTACAGAAAACTTTGTATCTTTTAAAAACTCAAAGTAAACATTGTTTCCTTTAGGGATATAAATTCCAATAAAACTTTCTCTTTTAGCTAGGGAAAGTGACAGGTGAATTTGAGCTATAGTGAAGAAAAAAAAGGGAGAATTACATTTAAAAACCAGCACCATAATAAATAAAAAACAGCATGGGGTCCCCCCTCCCATCCACACCAAGCCCTTCGGGTCTGGTATGTATCTTAAGGGGTAAATCCACACCAAAATGTAAACAAAAAATGGTGTGGGGTCCCCCCTCCCATCCACACCAAGCCCTTCGGGTCTGGTATGGATATTAAGGGGGAACTCCAAGCCGAAATTAAAGAAAAAAACAGCGCAGGGTTCCCCCAAAAATCCATACCAGACCCTTATCTGAGCATGCAGCCTGGCATGTCAGGAAAGGGGGAGGGGCGAGCGAGCGCCCCCCCCCTCCTGAACCATACCAGGCCAAACGCCCTCAACATGGGGGGGTGCTTTGGGGCAGGGGGGGCTCCCCCCCAAAGCACCTTGTCCCCATGTTGATGGGGACAAGGGCCTCTTCCCCACAACCCTGGCCAGTGGTTGTGGGGGTCTGCGGATGGGGGACTTATCAAAATCTGGAAGCCCCCTTTAACAAGGGGGCCCCCAGATCCAGGCCCCCCCCCCTACGTGAATGAGTCTGCGGTACATGGTCCCGCTACTCATTCACAAAAAAAGCAAAAGTGTAGTGTAAAAAAAAAACACAGTACAGGGTCTTTGACAAGTCCTTTAAGAAAACAATGTCCCCCGAAGTAGATCCAATGTCAATCACGGTGTCATAGCGGCGACCGGAAAAAAGAAAAAAAAACAAAAACCATTCCGCACTCGACGAGGCTTACTAGCCTTATGCAGTGATCGAGGGTGACATTTCTTATATAGGTAAGGGGCGGGGCCAGCCGGGGACATCATCCGAGTGACCCGCCCTGTTGATGTCACATGGGGTGGGATCACATGCTCGGATAAGGGTCTGATATGGATTTTGGGGGGAACCCCACGCTGTTTTTTTTTAAATTTCGGCATGGAGTTACCCCTTAATATCCATACCAGACATGAAGGGCTTGGTATGGGATGGGAGGGGGGACCCCACGCATTTTTTTTTATTGCAGACCTTTATTTTTACATTCAGCTGTCAAAATAAATATTATCTAGACCTTCGAAATAAGTAAAATCATTACAGAAATAATTATAAAGGATAAGAAACAAAAATAGAATCACTAGAACTAAGGAAATCAAATTAGAATACATAAAGATATGCTTAGTGCTGTTTGTTAACCCCTTGACGCCGCCACCTCCCGGCCCTTTAAGAGATTCTGACGCAGGGAGGCGGGGGGCGGTGGGGGCGTGGTTTAGGAATCATGTGACCGCCGTGATCACGCGTCACGGTGGTCACATAATCGGGAAAGGTCCCGTTCGAAAGAGCGGAGCGGGGGGGCTTTCCGTGAGTACTACACATGTGTGCTGGGAGCGCGCAGGGCGCGCGCTCTCAGCACATATGTATTTAGTGCCATGGACGCAAATGTGCGGCCGCTCGGCGTCTAGGCCCCGGCCGGCGCAAAGGGGTTAAACACAGTAGACGCGACCGAGTGCCGTCTGTCAGAGGAATCCAGCCAGAGATTTACTATTGAGCAGTGGCTAAAAAGCAAGCGCCCACAGAGGACATCTAAAATGTGTTCTGCACATGCGCATTTATATCGGCCAAATAAGCTGCACGAGCGTCTAGTTTTTCACTGTCTCGATTTGCTTTAAAAAAAACAATTTTTAATACATTTTAATTTTTTTTTGAAATGGCAGATATTGTCCTGATATTTGGCAAAGCAAATTTAAATGTGAACATGTTCTGAAGTCATTTTTTATGGCATTAGACGTGCCTCTTAGCAAGTCTGCTTTTTGAGTCTGATTCCTGGTCTGTGTCTCGTTAGTAAATTCGATTTGGCGTCTACTTGTTGACGCTTCTCTTTAGTAAATCTCTTAGCAGGGAAAAAGTAGACGGTCGCCACTAAAAAATAGACGTTTGCCCACGGAAATGCGCCTAGGCACAATAGTAAATCAGGGTCATAGTGACAGGAGAGAGGAGAACAGACCCGAGCAGAGTAGAACAGCTCCCAAACTGGGTCACCTCACTGAGTTCTATCCTCCCCTCCCCTGTCACGATAGACTCCTCCGGTCGGGTCTGTCCTCCCCTCCCCTGTCACCATGGACTCCTCTGGTCTGGATCTTCATACGTCATACATTCTCGGTGATGCAGTACAAGGCGCCATCTCCCGCTGAAGTAACGGTGTTGCAGCAAGATCTGTCCCCATGACGATCTGCCCCCCTTTACACAACTCTGTGCATGTGCCAGTTTCAGGCATAAGCAGACGATCTTCATTCTGTTACACTGTTAACCCCTTTTATGCTGGATTGCAATTACACAAACCGCTGAATCACATCCCTCGGATCACTGCCGCTGACGATCCTACCGCAACATGTCGCCAAGCTGTGGGGGGTTGTGACATGGCGAGAACAGTCACATGTGGGGGGATCAGTGACATGGGGGGGCCATAACATGTTTTGGTGGTGCAGTTAAAAGTGGGGGCCAGTATCATGGGGGTGGTGATTTGCTTCAAGGGAGGCAGATGTTCACGGGGGACTGAGCTTGCTGCTAGGGGGGGGTGTTTGTGTCAAGGGGGGGCAGATCTGCACGTGAGGTTGCTGCTTGGGGGCGGTTGCTTGCGTCAATGGGGGGCAGATATTCACGGGGTACTGATCCAGGGGTGGGGGGGTAATGACAAGGGGGACAGATCTTCACAGGGTACTGATCTTGGGGAGGGTAATGACAAGAGGTGCAGATCTAAACGGGGGACTGATATTGGGGGGGTGTATGGACAAGGGGGGCATATCTTCACGGGGGACTGATCTTGCTGGAGAATAATGGCAAGGGGGGCACATCTTAACGGGGGACTGATCTTGGGGGGGGGGAATGACAAGGGGGGCAGATCTTCACGGCGGATTGATCTTGCTGGAGGGGAATGACAAGGGAGGCAGATCTTCACGGGGACTGATCTTGGGGGGGGGGGGGGGGGATGAGAGGGGGACAGATCTTCACGGGGGACTGATCTTGCTGATGAATAATAATGACAAGGGGGGCATATCTTCACGGGGGACTGATCTTGGGGGGGTGTATGGAAAAGGGGGGCAGATCTTCACGGGGGACTGATTTTGCTGGGGAATAATGACAAGGGGGGCACATCTTCACGGGGGACTGATCTTGGGGGGGAATGACAAGGGGGGCAGATCTTCACGGGGGATTGATCTTGCTGGAGGGGAATGACAAGGGAGGCAGATCTTCACGGGGGACTGATCTTGGGGGGGGGGGGGATGAGAGGGGGACAGATCTTCATGGGGGACTGATCTTGCTGGTGAATAATGACAAGGGGGACATATTTTCACGGGGGACTGATCTTGGGGGGGGTATGGAAAAGGGGGGCAGATCTTCACGGGGGACTGATTTTGCTGGGGAATAATGACAAGGGGGGCACATCTTCACGGGGGACTGATCTTGGGGGGGGGGAATGACAAGGGGGGCAGATCTTCACGGGGGACTGATCTTGCTGGGGGGAAATGACAAGGGGGGCAGATCTTCACGGGGGGGATTGATCTTGCTGGGGAGGAATGACAAGGGGGGCAGATCTTCACGGGGGACTGATTTTGCTGGGGAGGAATAAGGGGGGCACATCTTCACGGGGGACTGATGTTAAGGGGGGGATGACAAGGGGGGCAGATCTTCACGGGGGGACTGATCTTGTTGGTGAATAATGACAAGGGGAAGCAGATATTCACGGCGGACTGATCTTGCTGGGGGGGAATGACAAGAGGGGCAGATCTTCATGGCGGACTGATCTTGCTGGGGGGGAATGAAGAGGGGCAGATCTTCACGGGGGACTGACCTTGCTGGGTGGTAATGACAAGGGGGGCAGATATTCACTGCGGACTGATCTTGCTGGGGGGGAATGACAAGGGGGACAGATCTTCACGGGGATTGATCTTGGGGGGGTAATGAAAAGGGGGGCAGAGCTTCACAGGGGATTGATCTTGCTGGGGGGAAATGAAAAGGGGGGAAGATCTTAACAGGGGACTGATCTTGCTGGAGGGTAATGACAGGGGGGGGCAGATCTTCAAGGGGGACTGATTTTGCTGGGAAATAATGACAAGGGGGGCACCTCTTCACGGGGGAATGATCTTGGGGGGGGGATGACAGGGGGGCAGATCTTCATGGCGGATTGATCTTGCTGGGGGGATTGACAAGGGGGCAGATCTTCACGAGGGGACTGATCTTGCTGGGGGCTAATTACAAGGTGGGGAAGATTTTCACGGGGACAGATTTTGCTGGGGAAAAATGACAAGGGGGGCAGATCTTCACGGGGGTCTGATTTTGGGGGGGAATGAAAAGGGGGGCAGCAGATCTTCACGGCGGATTGATCCTGCTGGGGGGGGGTATGACAAGGGCGGCATATCTTCACGGGGGACTTATCTTGGGGGGATGTATGACAAGGGAGGCAGATTTTCATGGGGGACTGATTTTTCTGGGGAATATGACAAGGGGGGCAGATCTTCACGGGGAGTGATCTTGGGGGGGGGGGGGGAAATGACAAGCGGGGCAGATCTTCACGGGGGACTGATCTTGCTGGGGGGAATGACAAGGGGCGCTAATCTTCACGGGGGGACTGATCTTGCTGGGGTAAAGACAAGGGGGGCAGATCTTCATGGGGGACTGATTTTGCTGGGAATAATGACAAAGGGGGCACAGATCTTCACAGGGGACTGATCTTGCTCGGGGGTAATGACAAAGGGGGCAGATCTTCACGGGGGACTGATTTTGCTGGGGGGGAATTACAAGGGGGGCAGATCTTCACGGGGGACTGATCTTGCTGGAGGGGGATGACAAAGGGGGGGACAGATCTTCACGGAGGGACTGATCTTGCTGGTGAATAATGACAAGGGGGGCAGATCTTTCACGGGGACTGATTTTGCTGGGGGGGGTAATGACAAGGGGGCAGATCTTCACAGGGGACTGATCTTTACTGGGTGGTAATAATGTCAAGGAGGACACATCTTCACGGGGGACTGATCTTGCTGGGGGGGGGGAATGACAAGGGGGGCAGATCTTCACGGGGATTGATCTTGCTGGGGGGGAATGACAAGGGGGGGCAGATCTTCACGGTGGGACTGATTTTTGCTGGGAAATAATGACAAGGGGGGAACATCTTCACGGGGGGACTGATCTTGGGGGGGGGGGGAATGACAAGGGGGGCAGATCTTCACGGCGGATTGATCTTGCTGGGGGGGAATGACAAGGGGGCAGATCTTCAACGGGGGACTGATCTTGGGGGGGGGGGATGACAAGGGGGGCAGAGATCTTAACGGGGGTCTGATCTGGCTGGGGGAGAATGACAAGGGGGGCATATCTTCACGGGGGACTGATCTTGCTGGGTGGTAAAGACAAGGGGGGGCAGATCTTCATGGGGGACTGATTTTGCTGGGGAATAATGACAAAGGGGGCACATCTTCACAGGGGACTGATCTTGCTGGGGGGCAGGTGGGGAATGACAAGGGGGC